TTCAGTATATCCAAAAATATCATCTAGTTGTTCAAAGTATTCCCAGCATTTTGTTGTATATGCATTTCTGGGTTAAAAGTCAAAGTCATTTTAGCAAGGTTCCAGTAATTTGTGTAATTTTTGTTCCAGCTCTGTTTACTGGATAAACATTAAAATAGCACAGAGCAATGCAAAACTGACATTCGCAGACAGCTTTCAAAGACACCAGCAGCTTATCTAGAAGTTGTAGATCCCTAACACAAAAGGCAGATACCTGGGAAAACAGCTTGTGGCTCCTGTGACTTAAGAGACATCACATACTTGTCCATGCTGCCTAGCCGAACCAGCCCCTAAAACAAATGAATATCCATTGTGCCCAGCCACAGCTGCTACACATGTAAAAACAAACACCCCAAATCTCTGACAGAGTAAATGGATCATCTCCCTTCGGATGTTAATGTGTAACGTGGAGCCTTGTATGTAACAGACCAGCAATGAACACATTTGCTTTTCAAACCCCATGGAACAGATCCTGTACTTTTCTTCACGAATTAGACTGACCGTATCACGAAGCGTTCTTGCTTCATTATGGGCCTGAAGTTACAGAAACCCAGCAATAAGCAGTAGGGTTAACTCTGTGTTTATCACACAGCTCAGACTGCCCAGATCCACAATGGACTTAACCTGAGAATGGTTGGAGTCGGAAAAACAGGAGCAATTTATAAACACAGGACTCCCTGCTTTAATACAAAAAAAATCTTTCCATAATTTCAGCCTCCTGATCTAATTTTTCCTAACATAAACTATGCCCTACACCAAAGTCAGGGAAAGCACTACTTAGCACAAGACACAGTTAACTTCCAACCTAGAAGTTGGTAGCTTGCTATCGATTATGCATTTTTTTCCATCACTAGGCCTGAAGCAATGCATTGACCTCAAAATGCTCCGACATGCTAACAAAACAAAGGAACAGCTATAATTGTGAGCCAAAGTTTCCATCAGCTAGTATACTTGGTATGCTTAAAAAGGCAGAAGATTTGAATTACAGAAGGTTTCGGCTGCTGGAGAATTGTTTAACCATCCTACACAACCCTTACAGACCTGCCTTCCAAAAGCTCCAAAATCCTTCACACAACAATGCCCAGAAAACACAAGAGGGGCAGCAGAGTCAGTACCTACGTAGAGGAAAAAGGAAATGGTGGCAGCTATTATCTCTCACCGCATGCGAGGGAGCTCTGGTATAAAAGGAACAGGGAAGTTCAAGGGTACAGGTAGTTCAGTGGCAGTCCAAAGGTTCTACTGCCAGTCCAAGAATTCTTTCTCCTTCCCACTGACAAACATGTTTAATATTAAATGCATGTATGGAGCAGAAATAGGCCCATGTATAAAGAGCAGATGCCCAGAGTCCAAGGTAGACACCAGCCTCTCAAAGTGCAGACAGCGTTCACTCCCCAAGTGACGCGTGTATTAGGCCTTTTGGAAGGACTGTGAACAGGGCATTAAAAGATTTGTTACTAAAGTTCTGCAAGACACTAGCAGAGGAAAATACATGTGCGCCTTGCACAGTATAATTAACACCACTGTATTTCTGAGAGCCCGCACCCACAGCTGAAAACGAAGTCAAGACAGACATTGCGTCGGTGTACGCACGTGCAACACTTGCCTTTTCTAGCATTAGTGCCACCAGCTCCGAGAGCTGGAAAGTTGTCAGGAACGTAACAGACTCAAGTGTGCTCCAACCGCCTTTACGGAAGTCAGCTGCATTAAACTAGACAACAAGTCTATAAACCTGCAGTAACAAACTTACTCATACGCAATTTTGATGAGGCAGCCTTAAGAAGTAAGTAGATGTTGTACCAAGCCTAAAGGAGCAGCTGGCAACAAAGACATGCTTATCTTTCAGATAATGTAACCAACTTAGAGGCACTACAGTTCTGAGGTAACTCTGAGAGAAGTTTCAAACACAGAGGATGGAGGATGTTTCTTTTTTCCCCCCATACACTGGTTACATTTCCCGATTCCAATTTTTAGCTGTCAATTTCTATTTTCTTGGTGCCACCACGTGGCAAAGATATGTATTACCATTTTACATGTAAAAGCCACTTCCACTCCGTTCTAGCGAGGCCACACATTCTGCAACGGCTGTACACTGAAAGGCCGTGTCACTTTACATGTGTGTAAGTATATATGAACACTGTGTTTCACCTTCAGATATTACAAAGGCTTATGCAGACAAAATAGGCTGAAAATAATCAGTGGCAGAAGACCAGAGCTATTTTGTAGCAATCGCACCATCCTTGTCTTTGAAAGGAGCACATTATCACCCATGTGAAATACATAATCAGGGTGTTTAAATAGCTGAAGTGATTAGGTTAAGGGTTTGGGGTTTTTCTATTGCAACATACAGTGAATACTCACATATCAACGCTGAACATACCACCTTCACAAAGTAGCTAGATTAAAGTGTGACACACATAGTTATTCAGTGGTGGTTTGTTGTTTCGGGTTCGGGGTGGTTTTGGTTGGTTTTGGGGACTTTTTTTGGTTGGGTTTTGGTTTGTTGTTGTTGTTGGGGTTTTGGGGGGGGTTTATTGGGTTTTTGTTTGGTTTGCTTTGGTTTTTTGCTGTCCTCATAGATCCTGAGAAGGCATGTATTTATAGGAAGGCATTTGAACCAGCCCTGTCATTATAAACAGGACATCACTGTCTCCCTGCCAGCTTGCAGAAGCTCCAGAGAGAACGGGACACAAAATGAACTGGATCTACTCAAATCTAAAGTAAGTGCCCAGCAGAGGATGAACATTCATTTGCTTTCCACCTTCACAGCCACGCAGGGTAACAAAGAGAAAGGAGAAAGAAGAGCCGACTGCTAGGAACTAGCCCATATACATCTATGTTCCCAAGGAATAATATGCCAGTTAAAAAGCAACATATTCCCATTATTCCCTCTCCTGTGCTATACAGATGCAATGCCAGGGACTGCACAGAAGAAGTTGCAGGTGCCGGCTACACATCTCTTCATCGATCAGGAACACTTCCGCCCACACACGCACAGAGGTACCACCACTATAAATTTACTACTAACCCCCACTGTACTATCTGAGTGGCATCAGAGAAACAGGGCAGAATATCACACTTTTCTAAGACTCCTTGAATTTTTTCCTAGCTTGAAAAGCACAGATACTAGTAGGCGAGAGAAAAGGATTAGCAGTCATCCGAGGTAGCTGGATGAGTAGCTAATCAACAGCAAAGAAGCAAAAGTCCTTGGAGGAAATGTTAGCAAGTATAAGGAAAAAGCTCAACCCACTCTAGTTTAACAAGTTAGTATGCATCAGTTGAGCAAGTCACCTACAATACATGCAGGAAAAGCCTTTTACAACTTCAAGGTAAACATATTACCATAAGAACTACCACGAAGTCAAAGCTAACACGTTTAACTACTGCCATAACTGAAGTATGCACGCATAGTTACCACACCTCAACAGATGTGCGACAGCCTGACTTGTGTTCATGCCCTACCAGTTTGAAACTGTTTAACAAAGCAAGCTTTTTGAAGCTGAAACGTGAATTGTCAGTTTAAAACTGCATCATGGGAGCCTTGCATCACCACAAGGTGACAGAAGTGGTTATGGTGAAACAGGTTATTCTTCAGAAGACCATAAGCAAATGGCACACAAGTCTGTGAAGAAGTCTATTAGCAAAGAAAGAATAGCTGGGCTCTCCAACAGAAGGATTGCCAGCACATTCAACATCAAGAATGAAAAGCATTTTGACAACATGGGCAAGGAAAGATAGGATGCTATTGAAAAGCCACAACAAGCAAAGCAGCAACCCTACTGACATCACTAGGACTTGGAAAGAAAGAGGTAGATTTACTTTTGCCAGAAGAATAAGACACTTTAAGCATAGGCTATGCACATACCTTGTCCCACATCTCTACTTTTCATCACTAACCTATCCATTATTTTTTGCCAGGCCCCATTAAAGGAGCTCAGCAGGCAACTTCCATTCCTAGAACTGTTCAAAGGGTCTGGACCACTGCTGTGCATCAACACTGAGATGCAGCAAGGGCTTCTGCTTGTGTGTGCTTTGCTACATTAGCATTTAAGTTCAGATCTGGAGCAGCATAATGCATCTGTGTTGTACACCATCAAACAAAGCCACAATTCTAATCTTACTCATTTGATCCGTGTGGGACAGAAGCACAATACACAGACCCTGAATTCACTCCAGGAAAGAACAAATCTTTTCCTGTGCTTTATAGTTTTAAGTCATTGTTGGACAAAATGCAAATACATGAGGTTATCACTCTAGATTCTCAAGAATTACGGATGGAAGGAGAAAGGTGCAAGGAGACTCCACAGAAATCTGGACGTATTTGCACCTGGTCAGTTAATAGCAGCTTTTGCTGACATACATTGACACACCAACATGTTTTGAAAAAAAAAAAAAAAAAAAAATCCTGTTCTCTTGTAGCAGTACAGGCATGTAGGTTTGTACGCAACCTTTACCTAGAAAAGGAGAACAGTTTAGTGGAAGAAGCAAGAGGCTGTGAGCCAAGAATAGTTCTAATCCTGTTGTGATTGGGAAGTTAACCTGAGTCTGCCTCTCCCCATGCGTAAAATGGGGATAATTAATCCTCACTTAACCATGTAAATTAAATAATGTTTCAACAGTGCTGCAAGTGCCACATATTAATTAATGCCTAAGCAATAAAAAGGAAAGCAGCAAAAGGGGAACACTTTGCTACCTACCTGCAAGTCGAAGGTTGTGCTGCAATTTTAAAAGAGGAGATATTTGGCACTTGGAAGATAAGACCCTAAATTATCATTCAGTCTTAGAGAGAAAGATTTGTCTCTCTCATATGCACAGCAGCTATCGAGCACATGAAAGCCAGGCACTCATCATTCTGCATTTCATATCACATCTTTGCAACACAGTGAGCTGATATTAACTAAGGAAATGCCATAAGCAAATACACATAAGCAACAGTAAGGCAAACACAATGGGAAGATCCATACCTTGAACACCTTCCAGAAGCAGATCAACCCCCTTTCTATAAAAGCTGAGGGCAGTTTCATAGTCTTCTTCCTCCTCCTTCTTCAAGGCCAGCTTTATCAAATCACCTGCTTTCTCCAGATAATCTTGTTTGCTGGGCTTGGGTTTTAAGTTTCCAGTAAACAAACTATGGCTTTCCCTCTCTCCTTCGTGTTTGCTCCACTCCTGCTCAGGTGCCAGCGTGCTTTGTACTGGGGGTTCGGCAGCAAGGCAAAGGCCGACAGCTCTAGTGGGAGAACTTTGGTTGGATGCCATTCCATCATCTAACTCAGCAAGAGAGTCTACATCGACTGTCAGAGAGATCAGGTCACTGTCACTGGAGAGGCCTGAAAGCACAGTCAGAAAGACACCCGTTACTCTAGATTTCTCATATACCTTAGGAACCTCCAAAATTCTTTATCCCATCCAAAGGTTTTAGCTTTCTTCTCACTTATGCAGCTTCGTGAGACTTTGTGCACAGAAAGTCCCTGCATGTAAAGTGGTCTCAAAAATTATTTTTTAGTACCTACAGAAACACGTTTTTTAAAGTTAGGTACAAACTCTGCAGAGCAGTTGGTATTCATTTTAATACTGGGAATGAAGAGACCAACATCTAATATCCAACTTAAACTTTCAAAGCTTGCTCACTGTCATGCTCCAGGAAATTACAAAATTAACCCTTTCTGTGTGAGAGCTATTAGGAAAGTCAACCAGCAGGAGTCAAACTATTGTTGTATGAAATACCAACATACTGGTTTAAATCAGTAAGATGAAGCATCCCAGAAACAGTAAATCAGGAGCTTGAATTAATAGTTACTGTCAGCTCATGCGTCATGCAGCATAACTCACATCTACCATATACAGCCTTCTTTCATTGCTAACGTGGTAAAATGAATTAGCTACACCTCTTTCACTGAAATGGGAGCTAACATTTTATTTTACATTTGCCGTCAGCTAAATGTATATATACTTACTGCAAGCCAAGCTTCAGTAACTAAACCATGGCATCTTAGCATGGTTATTTGGAAATAAATGGCAACTAAAATACCTTACACACACCCCATTTCTGTAAGGATTAACATCCACAAAAAGCATTCCCTCGTAATTATGACTTTCTAATAATTTAAATTCCACAAATGTAATGGAAACAACTTCTAGGTCTCACCTCCACATTCCGATTGGCTTGTAAGTGTCACATCATCAAGCCCACTCAAATCCTTTCGAACTGAAAAAGACAAGAATGACAAAAATGTTTCCGACATCCTTTTGTACAACAGATTAGATGTTCACTTGCCATCAAAATGAAAGGGCATGACCCTACTACAGGTAAAAGCACATAATATGAAACTGCTCTTTGACCAGGTATCAGAGATATCCATTTGGTAACACACCATTAAAATTGCAACAGTGGTATTAGATTTGCCATTTCTCATTGCCTCCGAGGTTAAAAAACAAAACACAGGTGCTTGCTTAGGGGGGGCTAATTCAAACCTCAGCACTCCAACTCACCTAATTTCAACAGCAGCAGCACTTTTATCCCTATCTCTCACTGCTTTGATGATTTACAGCTAAGGAGACTTAAAACAGGAAAATCTTCAAAGCTGGGACCTACACATCAAGAAAAAAAAAAAAAAGCCAGCCTTCAGTCTCAAAAATGTCGTTCCAGAACAGTACCCTGCATGAGACATACGGAGCAAGCCACAAATTTGGCAGTGCCACCTGGATATTAAGCAGCAGTTTGTTTTATCACCTTGGCACATGTACCCACTGAGGCAATAAAACAGGCAACAAGGTCAAGACATTTAGCTGTTTGTACACACTGAGAAAGTAAATTCTGAGCTAAAATCTGGTGTCTGTTTTCTTCTGTATTATCGACAGTCAAGAGTTTACCCACATTATCAGATAAAGTGTTCTCTGACTTATCTTCAAAAAGTATGTGGCAGTAGCAAGGAGCGGGCTCAAAGGCAACTAACTCAAACTTTCTTTTTGATGTTGCAACTCTAGAGTTAGAGGCATCTTAGAACTCATGGAATGGGAGAAAGACAGCACTGTAGAAATACTGCTTTTCTAAAAAGCTAGCAGTTTCTTTAATGTGAATGAGAGGAAAAAGACACAAAGGAGAGCAGATTCCCAGCCACTATTTGTCTGAAAAGCAAGGGACAGTGATACTTTGTGACACAAGACTACTTGAGAGGAGTGGACAGGAAGACAATGCTCCCGATCTTTTCAGGGAAAGGACATAAAGCAAAGTGTCCATGCAGAGAAAAACACACTTGTGGAGCCTCAAGTCCTGCAAGAAAGAAGGCAACCTCACAACAGAACGGTTGGAGGGAGACGGAAGATTCACTAATTAGTGTATTAATAATGGGCCATTCATCTGCCCAATTTAGGGACAGCAATGTCAACTTTGGGTGTGTAGGACCGAGAATTTATGAAATAACATTTAGAGGAGTCAAGTTATTTTGTTTGGTGAAGCGAAATTGCTAGCTAGGAAATGTATAGGAGGAAGCAGAGCTGACTGACAGACAAAGGGTGTAGACAGGACGAATGGAAAAGCTTGGGGTTTGTGGGAAGAGTGCGCTGGCCACCCAGCCTAGATGAATTAGAGCACATCCAGACAGCAGATTTCAGATAGACCTAAGTTCCCCTCCCTACTGTCCACACAAAACCACATTTGCTCTTCTCTTGCAGCCAATTTGACCAGAAGCTGTATGAACACAGCTACCATGGCACAGAGCCTGAGCTAATAAACGTTGCTTAAGGTCAGATTTAGAGCCCAGATCTGGCAACACAACCAGAGTCATGGGGCTTCCAGTCAGCCTGAGGGCTAGGAAGAGTCTGAACTACATATGCTTATTTCTGGGAAGATAAGGTGAACATGGTAAAATAGAAGGAAGGGGGCAGAAAAAGAATTGGGGGGGGG